AAAAGGATTGGGCCTTTAACCTTATCCACTATGGGAGACCAAATTCAAATCAGATTTGAATCTGGTAACCTCCTGATAAGATCAGGAGTAAGCTAACTTAATCTGCAGATAAGATTAAGATCATCCCCTATCCAAATACTGATTTGGATTGGGATAACTCCTAATTAGGAGGTTTCTTAATTAAGAAGAAAGGAGGAGAAACCCTAAGAGAGAAAACAATCAGATTTCGAACCTGGGGATTGTGTGCAAGAAATCGTCTTGCATATTGAGATCAAATCTCATACACAATCCAGAGAGAAGAGAAGCAATTCAACCATCTTCGTCCCAGGAGTTCTCCTCCAACTGCCGCCATTATTTCTTACAAGATTCGATCTTTGAAGAAGAAAGAAATTAAGAAATTGTTTCTTGACATCAGTTTTGCAGAAAAGACTGAAAAGATTTGGTGTTTAGAGTTTTCAGTGGATTCTTGCGAAGGATTCAGTGTGTAGGACACACCCTGCTAGTTCCGTTCCACATATAGCTGTGTCATCTTCAGCAGGAGCGGATCTTGGTATCCTCTTTGGGCGTGAACACCAACTTTGGGAGATACTGCATCTCTGGATTAGGTATAATTCCTCCCATCCTTTTTGGTTCAGATCTGGTTCGATTATGGTTCAAGTAGGATCCTTGAATATTGTATTCTAAATTTAGGGAATACGATTCCCAGTTGAGAGAATGTAGGAAAATTTTTGAAATTCGCCCACCCATTCTGCAATCTTTATGGCATCCATCAGATGGATTCTACCATTCTTTCACCGTGACCATGAGAATGCTGTCACTTGGAATTGGAATCTCACTCATATTGGTATTTTGTTGGTTATTCTTTTCTGTAGACTGGGAATGGTCCATGCAGAGTGGTGGAGATTTTTGTGGTCATTGGAGAAGTCTTCAACTTTTGGAATACCTTTATGATCCAGGGGCATCCTTCTTGCCAAGGAAATTGCTAGACTAGATTGGATCTGGTTGAGTTAAAACAATCATATGCTTTTTCTGGATCTGGTAGGACAAAGGAGTATGATAGATCAAATTGTTACTTTCATTTGGAGCACCATATATCTTGGTTGAGCCAGAAAGGATGTGGATTGAAGTATTGATAGAAGATATGAGAAGTGCAAGGTGCCACCAACCAGCAGGTTGGTAAGGTCTCCTGCTGGTTGTAGTGGAGACTTTGGGACCGAATCCCACCTGCACCTGGGTTGGGGGATGGGCTACCCCCCCGTTGTGTAGCCCTCTGAAAGAAATAAAAAAAAAAGATATGAGAAGTCATTATTTAACCAACATTATGGCCCTTGATTGAGTGAAATGAAAAAGCAAGATTCTGTAGGCAACTTCCCAAATGGCTGGGCTAAGGTTTTTGTCAAATTAAGTATATCTTGGTTGAGCCAGAAGCAGTGAAATCCAATGTTTAGAACTTAGATTCTTTAGAACCATAGAGGACAACTTTTTTGAGATTCACCACAACTATCTTCTACATGTCTTGTAATATCTTTTTTTTATCTCTTCTTTTTCTTTTCTGTTGGGTGACTTCTGGTCACTTTCCCTGTAATATCTCTTTGTTCTTTTATTAAGCCCATGTTTGGGAGAGCTTATTCGAATAAGCACTTATTTTGGGCCAGGACCACTCCAATAAACACTTATTTGCATTTGGGAAATAAGCCTGAATAAGTGCTTATTTTTAGGAATATGCACTTATTCAAGAAACCCAAATTTTGAGCTTATTCGTAAATGCTTATTTCTTTTCTGGCCTGTTTTGGTCTGCCACAACACTTTAAAAATACCTATACTACCCCTGTTTGAAATAAGTGCTTTTTCACCAAACACCCATGAGCGCTTATTAGGATAAACAAAACTTGGCCTAAATTTTATTTTATTACCAAAAAAAAATCCTTGTTGAATATTATTGTGAAGTTTTTTCTTTTGGTTGCAACTTCACTAGGGAAAATATTCCTAATCTATTCTGCACTACCTGCCAGAAGCAGAGAAGAAAAATGGTGCTTGAAAATTTGCAAGAGAGAGACAGAGAGAAACAAGAACCAGTCCTACCTTTTTTTATATTTGGAAAATGGACAATATATGTAAAATGCCCAAGGAACACTTCGGTCCTACCTTGTTTGTTCTGTTTATGTTTATTAGTTTCTGACATGCTTCCTGCCTCCCCATTTTATGGGGAAGTCATTGTTTTTGTTTCCCAGGACACAAGAGTCCACTGTAAAATGTATTCTAAACATTGACTCTACATGCTGTTTTTTTTTTTCCTAATTTGCAAGTGCACTCGTTACAAAAACTTAAGCATGTTTTGTTGGGAATCAGATTTGCTCTTCACAGAGGGTGCCTCACATCAAACTCAGAGTACATTGTTGCCATGCATTGGACATATCTTCCCATGAATTACAACATCAAGTATGGGAGATGTTCTCAATGCAGAACTGAAAGAGCTGTGAAGTTGGTGTGAGGCACGCTCTTTGAAGAGCAAATCCAGATTCGTTTTGTTGGCATATTTGTTGCATATCTCTTCCTCTAATGGTCTGTTCTGTGTATATCATAATACTGCAGTTTCCAGTTGGTCGTATCCATCGTCTCCTGAAGTCAAGGATTACAGCAAATGGAAGGGTAGGGGCAACAGCTGCTGTGTACTGTGCAGCTATTTTGGAGTATCTTACGGCAGAAGTGTTGGAATTGGCAGGCAATGCCAGCAAGGATCTGAAAGTTAAACGTATAACACCAAGGCATTTGCAACTTGCCATCAGAGGAGACGAAGAACTTGATACTCTGATCAAAGGAACCATAGCTGGTGGAGGTGTGATTCCGCACATTCACAAATCTTTGATCAACAAGTCCTCCAAGGACTAGCATGACTTATGCTCTCATGTTATGGATAATGAATGAGAATCATTGAGAAGGCCTTGTACGTATTTTGGTTGTGTACATTGAAGATTTTCCATGGTTTATGGATTGAGGCTACCCTGAATGCTGCTCATCATCTTTTTGCTTTAATCTTGGTTATATTCTTAGTTTTTGTTAGACAGATAGGATTTGTTAATCCATGGTTTATGGATTTGTTAGACAGATAGGATTTGTTAGACAGATAGTTTTTGTTAGACAGATAGGATTTGTTAATCCATGGTTTATGGATTGTGCAATTTTTTTTTGCTGGGCATACTTGATCTTTGTTTTATCTTATTTCGTTGCTTTTAATTTTTGTTTCGTAGTTGAAATAGGTCATATTATAGTTTTTTCCGGCAATGAATAACATTTATAATATTTAATAAAACATTTTTATATTTTTTGGGATTTTTTCCATGTTTTGAAAAATCCATTAATCTAACAAGTTTTGACCACCAATGCAATTAGATATATACCTGTGGTTATATGTCTGTGGTTAGACCACTGCTATAAATCTAACAAGTTTGGGCATCTATCAATATTCAAAACAAAAAAAGTAAAATCATGCCAAGAGTTGGAAACTCTAATGTTGGTCATGATCACTACTATTAGTCTTCAATGGCATTTTATTGTTTCATCACTTCCATGTGTGTATGTCATATTGATATGAAACACCATGTACAAAATCATGGGTAAAATATTTAAAAGTACAGGTAGGTTTTTCGGAATGGACTAAATATTCTTTTTTTTGTTTTTTTTTTGTTTCAATAATCTATACTACTATTAAAACTTAAAAGTGTGAATGAGAGTAAAACTTTTGTTTCACTAAAATATCCCAATATTTGAATTTGGTTGCTCTCTAAATATAAGGACAAAAATGTAATTTAAACAACAACTTTTTTACTTGTTCAAGTCCCTCTCATTAAATCTTAAATTTAAGGTATTAAATCCATTAATATTTATTGAATCTTACAAAAAATGTAAGTCCTATTTGTTTCCTTCTAACTCTTATCTCTTAAGAGGAATTATTTAACTTTAAGAGAAAAATGGTTGTTCGTTTCCTCTTATCTCTTATCTCTTAAAGTGCAATCATACAGTTATTTGTTTTCTAATGATACTCTAAAAAGACAAACAAAAACTCCCATATATGGGGTCAAAATGGATATTTGATAATTTTCAGAATTCAAAACAACATTTTCTTTATTTAGAGCTCAAAGAAAAGAAAAGTCCATCAATACCAATATACCTCTTAATTATTGCACTTTTAGATGTGAGCAAATGAACATGCCCTAAGTCAAACATATTAAAGAAAAGGCTAAAATATAAAAACCTCCCCTAAGGTTTTTGACAATCATAAAAACCTCCCTTGAAGTTTCATTTTAACAAAAACCTCTCATCTAGTTTTGAAAAATCCAACAGTTACCTCCCTCCCATCATTGTCTTAGTTCATTATCAAGAAAAAAAAATATTATTGTCTCCATAATAGAGACTTTGAAGTTACAAAATTGCCCTTATTATTTGTTAGGAAATCTTTTAATATAATCAAAATGCTAGATTTGCCATTTTAAACTTCACTTAATCATAATGAGTTTACAAAATTAAATTACTTTACTCTTTAAACTTCACTTAATCATAATTTTTAATTTTTTAGTTAAAAATTAAAAGTTTTTCAAAAATTAATGCATTAGGCCGATGTTTTCTAGCTGAGACAATGATGGAAGGGAGGTAACTGTAGTATTTTTTTAAACTACAAGGGAGGTTTTTATATTTTACCCTAAAAAATAAGTGATAAAGAATAATTGTTTTTATTGATGATAGAAATAAAATACAAACTTAAAACCAACACAATAGAGTTGTTTTCCCGTTTGGTGGCAAGTCAATAATTCAACCTTTTTGGTTCAAATGTGTAAACCCCTGATGTAATAATAATAAGGGTAAAATACATTTACGATAATCATAAAAACCTCCCCTCTATTTTTGAAAAGTTCAACAAAAACTTTCTTTTCATCAATAATCAAGATAAAAAAAAATATGTATAATTACAAAATTACCCCTAAATGTCATCTAATCAATTTGTAAAGTACCATATTTGCCCTTAATCGAACAATTCTTACACTTTCTATTTTCTTTGACAGGACAGACGAAAGCAATCCAGTGGCGCTATTACTCGGAAGGGATAAATGTTTTTGACTGTTTCTGAGTTTTTTTGGTGGCACACACCAAAGACCATATATCAACTATCGTTTTTTAACTACTAAAATAATCTTCCCATTGCCATTGGAGAAAATATTTGAAAAATGATGGCAAGTGATTCCGTCAATCTTTACGTTTGGAGGGACGTGATTCTAATTTCTACCACTTTCTTCTCAACTCTGAAAAAACAAGAGACAATAGAAAATTAAGTCAAAAAGCTAAAACAAACCAAACAGTTTTTTTTTTCTACTCGTTAACTGCAACTCCATGTGCTCACTTCCCTCTTCTCCTTCAAATTCATGTCTATCTGTCTACAGCTTTCTCCTTTAAGCCTTGTTCTCCGTTCACAGGGGAAACAACCATCTCTGTAATGCTTCAAATCTTTATGTTTGGGGCTGTGCTTCTGAGCATTGATGATCTCCAGTGAAGAACGGTCATCGGAAAATGGATGGAATATTTTGAGAAGTGGAATATTCCGAATAATAGTGCAGCTGCAACTGTTAGGGTTTGCATTTAGAAAGTGTAAGAAGTTGTTCGATTAAGGGCAAATATGATATTTTACAAATTGATTAGATGACATTTAGGGGTAATTTTATAGTTATACACGTTTTACTAACGTAAAAATAAAATTATAGGGGAGGTTTCTATGATTGTCAAAGGAGGTTTTTGTATTTTATCCTAATAATAATAATATAATTTAAAAAAATAAAAATACACAAAAGTATGAAAAATATACTTTACCCTAATAATAATAATAATAATTTAAAAAATAAAAACACACAAAAGTATGAAAAATATAAAAATTTGTACAAAACATTTGGGTATATCTTTAATATCATATATATTCATCTTTTCATCGTATTAAAAAAATAAATACGATAAATAAGAATAATTTTTATAAACAGAAATATAAAAAAAAATGTTGAAAACTTTTAAAAGCATTACTTACTTTTTAAAAATCCTCTCTTTCATTTCCTTTCAAAATTTCAAAATATACGGCGTAAACATGCAAAAGCCACGCTACCTCATTTGGCTTGGACTCTACCTTCCACCTCTTCTCTCCTCTCTAACCCTTAATTTAACTCCCTCGACAATTCACCCTTATAAATACAACCCCCACCTCAACCTCAATTTCACCAGCTCTATGATCTTAATTAGTCTGTGTCTCTGAACATACTAACTAGCTACAAAGATCAGAAGACATGAAAAGCCTAGTTCAGGAGAGATTTCTCAGAATTCTGTAAGAAATGGCTCTGCCAACAGGAAACAGACCTTGAAGAAATATTACCGATCTGTGGCAAGAGACCAGTCCCATGAGCCAGAACACCGAACTTACTGCACTACGAAGTGGGCTGCCGCTCATGAAGACATTCTCGGTTTCTCTTGTCCACCATGGTTGTCTCCTCTGGAGAATGCTTTCACATGGATGACAGATGGGAGACCCTCGTTGGCATTCCGACTGGTCGATTCTCTGCGCCAGACTCAAACCCATGGGTCTAGTCTAGGGGAAATGTCGGAGGCACAACTGAAAAAGATGAAGCAGCTCTGCAGGAGGATCAAGTTGGAAGAAGAGAAGGTAGAAATGGAAATGGAGAGGCAACAGGTGGGCCGTGGGCTTGGCCGACAGGCCAATGGTTGAGTTGGTTCGGCTGACTACACGAGTCAGAAATTAATGGTGAGGTGGCCAGCGAGTTCGATGGGTATGTGGATGTGGCTTTGAATACACTGCTGGATGGGTTGGAACGAGTCATGAAAATGGCTGATTGCCTTCGACTCAAGGCGTTGAAAGGACTGTTGGATGTGCTTAATTACAGTCTTTCAATCCATGGATTTAATGGCAGCAACCACCCAAGCCGAAACCCCATCGCCATTGCTCTTTTCTTCTTCTTTGAGACGGAGGATATTTTAAAATCTAACTAGGGGTAATTTTGAAAAAATGGTTATTATATAAGTCCTTAAAAGAATTAAAATTTTAAATTTAGGCTTAAAGAATAAACATTTATTTTGAATTTATTTCTAAAATACCAATAAATGCTTAATAGTATGATCCTCATCTAAATAAACACTTATTTCAAATAAACATTTATTTTTAAATACTCCCAAACATAACCTAAGTTATTTTCTGATGTAAATTTTATCTATAAGCCATGGTCCAACCAGCTCATATCATTGCTCAAGAGGCTTAAGTCTTATTGATCGTTGTATTTCGAACCCCCCTCCTAACGGTTAGATGAATTTTGATAGAAAATAATCACATGGAAAGCTAGCACCCGTGTTCATGACACACGATCATGGTTTTCAAAACCGGACCGGAAGGGACGGTCGGACTGGAAAAGCCGAGAATCGGTCACTTGATTAGTTTTATTTTTTTCTAAAACCGTTTTTTCCTCCAAAACAGTTGATTTTGGTCAGCAAACCGTTGAATCGGCCGGTTAATCGTTCGAACAATTTTGATCGTTTTTCAAATTTTCAAATTTTTTTATTTTTTATCAAAACAGGTCGGTCGTTCGAACCGGTAACCAGACCCTTGATCGGTTCATTTTTAAAACTATGCACACCACGCTTTTACAGTGAGTTGGAATATAGCATAGGTAGCCATCAATCAAATCCGGATATCCTAATCACCAAATTAGTTGAATTCAATTTTACTGCATTAAATGAGAATTGGGATCTGCTCCTGACATCGGGCGCCTCACAACGACCTCACAGGCATATCCTACTGTGTATTAAGAAAATCTCCTGTAAATAATAAAATATAAGTATGGAGAAATATTCGCAGTGCACGGTGGGATGTACCTGTGAGATTGGTGTAAGGCGCCATGTGTGAGGAACAGATCCAGTCTCATTAAACGATAAAATTAGAAGTCGTTAGCTTTTCTTTCTTTCTTCATATCTCACTTTCATTCACTCCCCCGGTACCAAAACCAAATCAGTTGACTTTTACTTTAGTGAGAATGACCGTTCAATCTACATCTCACAATTCTTAGCCCCACCGGTGAAATGAATCCTAACCATAGATTGATAATTGATGTTGAATCCACCTTATGCTGTTTATAAGGGGCTACTAGTAGACTATGGGGA